CTATGCAGGACAACGCAGAAGCAGCCAATCTTCTTGCTAGAGCCAAAGTTCAACAGCAGAAATTCGAGGAGATTTGTGACGAGCAGGATCGCAAGATGGCAGCCAAGGAATCAGCCAAGGAATCATCAACCATTCCGACAGAGATTGATATCGATGTCGCAGCCGACGCTGGAACATCTCCCGCTTTTCCTGATGTTGCTGCTGCGGATAGTGCTAATATTGACTCTCCCCAAGGCGATGTAAGTCCCATTGGCAACGTACCAAATGGAACGACCATGGACACTGACGATCTTCTCAACGATAACTAGGATGAAGGTTCTGGAAGTACAAACAATCCAAAGAATACAGCTGCCGTTTAAGGTATAAAATTAGTTACTTTACGAATCAAAGCCTAGTTACTTTACGAATCAAAGCCTTGTGTAGTCGTTCATGCTCCAAAATATCCATCAAATTGTTCCACTGTAATCGTCGTTTCATGGCAATTTCTACCGACTTTGGCTGTTGAGACCATCCAATCTCAGCTGGAGCTTCGTCTGTATCTTTTGCTTGAATTGCTGGTAAATCCGATGGACTATCGACAACTTGTCTACCGACAACTGCATTATCTGCCTTGTACAAGGCTCGAACATCTCCATCCATAACTCGATCAGCTACGCACATGTTGTGTAGGAGAAGACATGAATTGACCCTGTTTCTGATCAATTCCAAATCAAGTTCCAGAAATGGCCGGCACATGTACTGGAACTTACATTGCAACACTCCATAAAGTCTTTCGATATCCTTCCGTACCGCTTCCTGCCAAGCAGAAAACTGCTTCTCCCAATCAAGGATTGGATCGGACAAAGTCTTGACAAAACGAGAAAATTGGGGATATATACCGTCAACCAAAATGAAGAAGGCGTTGAATTCTTCACTCGAGATCGTGAAAGGTACGGCTCCACTTTCTGTTTCAAGCTGTTCCATCGTGCCATTTAATATGTTTTCTTGGATGGGAGACATGTCAAATATCGTAATGTCATTGAGTGTACCGGCATATCCAAAGGCACCCCACCAAAGAAATAGATTATGGTCTCCCAAGCCTTCGAAGGCAAGCGTGGGAATTTTCTTGGAGCCCTTGTAGGCACCTTGCCAACCAACTGGACAATTCTTCCATGCATTGTGCATGCAATCAAGGGATCCAAGCATCCCGGGAACACCGTGGACTTGCTGGTGTAAATCTGAAATTGCTTTCAAGTCTGTGGCAGTGGGCATTCGTAGGTATTCTTCTTGATACAACTGCCGCATAACGATGTCAAAGTACTTGCGGCAATCTCTGGCATGAGTTAGGGACATTTGAAAATAATCCCGAAATGCATTTACCGGAACACCGTAGGCAAGACACTTCAACGGGAGCAACAATCGAGCTTCCAAGGAAGAAATCTTGCGGTCAAAGGCATCAGTTTCCCCACTGTAAAAGAAATGGCCACTGTTCCCAAAGTCCTGGCGTATTCGCTCAAACCGTTGAGTACTGATACGGAAGATTGTTTCGAATTCTCTGCCATTGAATCTCGGTAGTGGCGACAAATAGTCGTCCATAATGCACTGGTACGCCCGATCGTGGTCATAGACACGACGTTGATTCCTCGAAAATATACGGTGATCAATCGAATCAATGTCCTCTCCATCGCTGTCAACGACATCCATGACGACCGACTGGACCGTTGCCAAATTGGCTATCAAGTCGAATGCGTCCTGATCCTCTTCCGAACTGCTGCTAGAGGAATCCATAGATGCGCTGAATAGTAAAAGTGAGGATAATAAGCGGTAGAGATACAGATAACAAGAGGCAGTAGTTGGTTGGTTGGTTGGCTTGTTGCTGCTGTTGCTGCTGTTGCTACTGTTGCTGCTGTTGCTGCTGCTGCTGCTGCTGCTGCTTAAAAGACTGTTAGTCAAGCTTTTGTGTTGGTGAGCAATTTTCACTAAAGAGCCTCCGTTAGTCAAAAACGACGACCTTTGACTAACGAGTTTAGTCGAAAATAGCTTTAGTAGCATGGGTAGACACTGCCGAAAATACTAAACTTTCGACTAAACGACGATTTTTGGTTTAAGAGCGCCTTTAGTAGCTTCGGTAGACAGTGCCCTTACTACTCGTACGCATTATTTCCCAACGTCGCTTTTGCGGCTCATGAGACTTGAGTAGGGTAAAAGAAGAATTAGATGATGAGATACTCCTTGGAGGCTTGGAGCTTGGAGGAGCAGATGAGGAAAAGAAGAATTATGCAATGGTCAGCTGTAGCCGTGGATATGAATCCTGAAGACTCCACAGCAACGTACATGACATTGTAGTTCCACCCAACATGTTGGATAGGCCCATCAGAAAAGAAGCAAAAGTCACTTCAAATCTGGACTGGACTCTGGAGGACACCGTACGGTTCGTACCGTTACGTCGTAGAGAAAAGAGCTCCCTTCATAAAATTCGCTGGAAATCGAACTTGCTGCGAAGCCCAGCTTGCAGCCCTTCAGTAGTGCAGCACTCGAAGAACCAAACCATGATGCCCAACAGTATCCCAAAACAACCTGCAGGGGGAAATCCCTCCTCAACGATCTCGCTTTTGGCGCTTTTGTTCCACGGCCTGAGGAATTTGAGGGAGGGAGGGGCTTTCAGTGGGGCTGCAGACAATGAAGAACAACCGCAAAGGAATGGGGAAGACGGTACTAGCTCCCACCCCTCTCCACGAAGAAACAACGCTCCGCTATCGAGAGCCTCCCTCCAAGCCATCATCACTGAAACCCTAAACTTGCTGGAAGAGGACTTGAGTGATACTGACGAAGAGTCCAACTAACCTAGCCAGGGGGGAGACCAGGGGACCAACTACGCCAAGATACCCGATGACCTGCCCAAAAGTGAGCCCCTCCTTCTGAGAGTCCACAGTGCACCGTGCAAGATGGGGCCCCTTCTACGTTTTCAATTGATACCGGTACGTCCCCAAGGCAATATCATCATATTATCAACATAACACCACAACTATATTAAAAAATAGTAACTATATGCACACACATCACCAGCGCCAACGTCTGTCTGATAGATTCTTCTCTAGTAAAGAGATCCAGGGCAATTTCTGGCCTTTCATCCAGTTTATTTGGGTGGGAGGTATACTGTGCTATGTGGTTCAGAGCCATTCTTTGATTTCTGTCAAGCCACAATGATCACACGACTGTTCATTTCCACTTTATGGAGAAACAGCTAGCAGCCCCATAGGCTCACGGTGCTACATACACCGTTTGTCAGGCCAGAGACCATGAGTGAAAGCATACGTACCGGAGGGAGCATCCTGTTGCGGGAGTTCATGATCAAGAAAACCCAGGCCTTCAAGTTCCACGATCCCAGTAGCCAGCGGGCAGCGGGAGGAGGAGACTTTGCTAAGGGGAGGGCGGTGCTAAACCAACAATGTAGCGTTAGAGTTTCATGGTGGATGTTGGCGATCTTTTCTTGACGGTGCCTCTATCAGAGAGACGGGAAGAACGAGGGCGTCGGCGAAATTCATGGTGAATTCCTTTGTTTGCTTGCGTCGCTCCCTTTCCTGATGCTTCGGATTCAAGGGGAGGAAAGGGCGTCAGGGTGCAGGGTCCTGGATTCTGGATGCACAATGCACATAGACCACATCATGATGCTTCGGATTGAAGTGTACAATGCCCAATGCACATACATCACATTGTGTGTCAACAAGTTCACGCCTAGACTGGCTCTTTGGCAGACTGGGACTGGGACATTGATGCCAAACATGAGGTACGGTCGCAAGAACCTAATGAACAACTCCTGGTTCTCTGTTGGCAACCCCATGCATCAAATGGATGCGATGCATGCACGATGCTATGCCGCCGATCGTCGATGGGAGCAACCAAGCGTACATGGACTAAATACCACCTCATAAGGCTAACGCAGCTCTTATTTTCTCATTTGGCAATTGAACTAAACCTAAAAGTGTCCGGTTTCTTCACTGGATCAACAAAACCAAAGCGAAAAAAACTGCATCCGTGCCATGATGTGCCTCTGGGGAGCCTTCTGGCGACTGTGACTCGCGAGTATGGCACTGAGAGTTGAGTTGTTTTGCCTTGCACTTCGCCCGGCCATTGCACTTGAAGCCTTAGGGGTGCCGGTAGTGTGCCGGTATTGTTTCCAAGCAGGATTGAGATTGGCTGTCCAATGTGTGGTTGAAGCCGAACTCATAAATCTTTTGCAGTACTTCAGTGCATCTTCTTAGATCCGATCAAACTAAGAAAAAATAATATAATTAGAGTAAAGCCCCAATGATGGAAGATCGTAAGAAGCAAGGAAATCAGGTTTAAAGAGGCATACGCCTGATCATCGCAAAGTTCATAAGTTCATAAGCCTACGCTACGATTTAGACTGGTCTTGTGAGCTCTTGAGAATCTTTTCAATCTTTTGACCGAACATCCCAAGAACTGAACTCGAAAAGATTTAAGTGTTGACGGCTCTAGGGGTTTAAGGCTGAAAGGTGCACTGTGAAAGTGTACAGCGTTTTAATAGTCATGCCCACAACAACGAAGGAGGTGCAAACAAAGAGAAGCATTCGACTGTCACTCAAGCGACGTCGTCGCCCTGGTATTCTATCTGAGTGGCCGCAGTCTAACTTCTGGAAATTCAGTAGAACTTTAGGATCTATCTCAAGGACCTACAGTACTGGCTAGTAGTAGGTGGCCAAAGGCGGTGATGGCGGGATCGGGGTACTGTCATAGTGCTACCGTACCGTACCGTACGCTGGGGCCAGTGATGACCCTATCTAAAGCTTTTGAATGGGGCACTGGACTGGATCCTGTACCCGTACCTGATAGCTCTCGCCTCCCTCCTCGGCTCCTCAGGATCCCTCCCCCCTCATAATTTGAGCAAGAGCCCGAAAAAGGTACAGGCACTCAACATCGCCCAGCTAAACGTGTATTCGACTACTATAGAAGAAAAGGCCACCATGATCCCAAAACCTACAGCTGGAAACCCTTCAATGAGGACCTCACTCTTGGAACTCGTGTCCCAGAACCAGAGACGATTGAGAGAGGAGGGAGCTTCCAATGGGGACGAAGACCACGGGGATCCACCGCATCAGGTCAACCAGCTTATTTTCAGGGTTTCGGGGCGCACAACTCCAACAGGCAACGGTCAGCTGAACAGAGCTTCTCTGCTGTCCTTGATCGACCAAGCCCTGAACTTGGTAGAAGCCGATTTGCCCGAGGTTCCTGAGCCCAGGCACCCAAGCCAGTGAGCTTGCTCCCCTCTGAAGCTACGTGCACAAAGACTGCCGGCAATTCAAAAGGTTAGACGTCTTTCCATGTTCAAGGTCGAAGCAAAGTGTTGGGCCGTCCTCTTTTCAAGATACCGGTACAATGTCAGACCGTAACTCCATACCTAAATGCGCGGCAACATCCAATGTCACGAAGTGTTAGTAACTCCATAGCAACATATTATGCAATATCAGCTCGTGTGACATGTTCTTAGTTAGCTAGACGTACGCCTTCACAGCAAACCTGCCTTACATTCGCCCATTGCATCTGACTGCGTGGACCCTTTTGTCGTTTGATGGTTCCTCAAGACACGGCGGCATCAATTGCAAGCAGTTCGAGATCGCCCCATCATCTTACTCTTGCTGGGTTGGTCGTCAGACCGGTTGCTTGTTGCTTCTTTCACGTCCTCGACACTATGGTAGCAAGGAGAGATTCTGACGTTGTGCATACGCGTCAAGTTGGCTCCCTCCTCGATCTGGCATCTGGTAGCTTCTCAATACAAGTTGGTTTCATCCGCTGCTGATTCGATTCATTCAAAGTGAACGTTCGATTCGTACATGTACGCAATTTGTTTGGATACGTGGCTTCTGTTTTGTTTCGGCTGAGCATGCGAGGAGTACAAGGATCAATGACAATCAGCCATGAAGCAAAGACTGCCGAGAAGCAGAATGGCGGCTCCGCCTTGAATCGAATCCTTCGCTGCTGCTCGATTCGAGGAGCAGTGCACTTGTCTTCCCTGTCACGACAGCTAGTTCAACATGAAGGAAATGACTCGACTCCATGTTTCGACTCTCCACAGTGAAAGAGAGCTAGGAAGACTACTGGTACCGGTACAGGTTACGTTTACCATCGTGCCTAATGGGACTGGGTCCGGCGAGCTGCCCAGCCACCAAACGAACATCATTAGAGTGAAAACGTAACACGCAAAGCAGTCTAAGTAATAAGAAAGAAAGTATTGTCACCCCTCCGAATCATTGCCGATCCGTCCACAATCTTTGCCAGTCACCTTGACCGACCACCGAGCAGTGGCTTCTAGGACTCTTCGTCCTTTTTGTCCTTTTGAGGTGTCTGAAAGAGACCGTCGTTATTGTCCTTGCTGGGTGCCTCGGAGAATTGCACAACCTCGGTGAGTGACGGCTTATTGACAAGTCCTTGCTCTTCTTCTGGAGAAGCAGCAGCCGAATCCGAATAACCGTACTGTTTCTTAATGTCCGTCACCAACTCGGTAATGGCATTTTGCGTCACCACGGTCGCTTGCCGCGCATAAAACGCCAAGCCGATAAAACACGCCCCGGTCACCAACATGTTGGCAAACTTCAAGATGATGAATCCGTTGGCCCCTGATCCTGGAATGACAACGGGAATATGCTGTACATTGCGACACATGAATACGTGAAACTGCAACACGTACGTCTCCAAGGTGATGCGTCCCATGAATTCGAGCACGGTCGAGTGCAATTCGGTCAAGTATTTGGACGAGTTGCGCAGCATCAACCATCCGGCCATGGGCATCCAAAAGATGTAGGGATGTCGTGGATTGTACACGTGCTTGTCAGTTTCCATTCCAAATCCAAACAACCAGAGGAGAATCAATCCCGCACCAGCGGCTCGTTGAATTTGCATGGCCTGGACCTTTTGCGGATTCTTGTTGGGTTTTTGAGTTTTGTTTTGGGGCGAAGTGACATCCGCCTTGTCGGGTTCACTACTAGTGGTGGATGCGTCACTACTGCCACCGCTATCGTCCTCTCCATAACACCACTGCATATATGACTGAAATCGACTCCATAGAAATGCCGAGAGCATTCCAAACCAGGCGGAATACTTGTCGGTGGAGAATCGAAACTCGTATTCGTGGGAAATCCATGTCAGTATGCCTCGGAGTGGCGTTTCAAAAAAGACAATATGCACCAAGAGACAAATGCCAATGGCCGCCACGTTGCTCTTTTCTTGGCTATTGCTGAAATTGGGTCCCAACAGTTGTTTTTCGCGAATCATTTTGGCACCATAGCAGGTCGCCATGGTCATGAAAAAACCGACCGTATGGAGGGGAACCACGTAATAGAGCTCCAATTTGACATTGAGAAAGAGACTGAGCATGAGAGGAAAGTAGTTGATTCGGACCCACATGGATACCATGCGTTCCAAACTAAAGTCTTGTTTCTTGTCGCAATAGAGGAAGTGTCCAAATCCAGTCATCCAAACATAGGCGGATACCAGGACCCGAATTTCATTGTAAATGGTGCGGTTCCGATAGTAGTGGTACTACCAACCATGCAATAATAATCCACCAATGCAATGAGTTAGACAAACAAACAATATTCCCAAAAATAATAGTAGCTCGAGACTACTACATAGATGTCATGTGTACTTACCATGATAAAGATGAATTGCATCCATCCCTTCCACTCTTCCGTCTGCGCGCGGGACAATAACTGAACACCTCTCGTTCCTGGTTTGTGTTTGAGCGTATACGCGGTCGCGCCACCCATGAGGAGCACCATAAACCAAAACATGGGTTCACTGTGATTGTCTTCGCGGGGATAACTCACGGGCCAATTGTTCACGATAATAGCCACCAGCAATATTCCCAACATGTGTCCTTGGGCCGACACGAATGCCCGTCGCGACTTCCATTGATTCAAGAGCGGATTGCGCTGCAAAAACCGATGAATCGCATTGTTGAGCGAGGAGAGTCCGTCTACGACAGCCGCGGGAGGCTTGAAATCTTTGGAACTACCAGAAAGCGGGTCGGCGACGGGAGCAGTATTATCGGCTATTGATCTCGAGGAAGCAGGTTGTGAAGAAGTGTTGCGGTTGGTGGGAGAGCTCATGGTGATGAATAATACCGGTAGTAGTAGCCGATTTTCTGTTGCCAGTTGCCATGAAAGTGATGGGCAATGGTTACAACCGCGGAAGCCAATTTGGCGAGGAGAAAAGATCTTGGAAGAACCCAGGGTGACCGTTGGGTGCACAAGATGACCCTGGATTTAAGCCGCCTAATTGATCAAACACTCATTTGATGTGTGATTTGATTCTACTAGTAGAATGAAACTCAAGATCGTCTCCCGGGCCGCTTTGTGCAGACACAGGTCTCGATTTGTTTGATCTCAGGCTCCCGTCAGGATCTAGCTCGCCCCTTGGCGCTCTCTAAACCCCTCCCTCTGCTTGTTCACGATACGATGCACTCCGCAAATCTGTGTTCTACCTTGATCAACGTTGGTCTGCGAAAAAAAGCTGTGGCGAGCGACCGTGCAAAAGGTACCTATGTCATTTCTGTACTACGAAGCAATGAACTCGGGCACGACTTTCTGCCCTAAAAGTTGCAAATGTGTGTACCAAACTGGCACAGGTTTTTGCATGCATGCCTGCACTCATGCGCCACTCTCTGAATCATCGGGTTCAAATAGCCCAGACAGATGGCCATCTGCTGGTAGGGAAGGTTCATCATCGTCATAATAATCCATTTTGTCTCGATTCTCTGGTGGTCCCTGTCGCACTTCCTCGTCCCGTCCTGGTTCTTCGGGTACAACGTGTCCCTCCGAAGCTGTTCTCCTTGTTTGCTCAATCTCCCCGTTTCCGTGAAGTGCAGGCTTACCGTCGCACGCATCATCAACGATCTCTTGGGAAAAGCTTTCCTTCATCTCTGTTGCTTCATTCACCAGTCTTGATTGATGTATATCCAACCCATTGGCCACACTGGTATTGTCCGTGGTAACGTGACTGGGCTGGTTAGATGAGGAGATATCTGCGGAAAACCTCTTGCTGCTACTCCGAATGGATGTGCGACTCTTGAGGCCGCTACGATGGTCCATTGTCGCTGACTCACGGCTGCTCCGAAGGCTGGTAGGATCCAACTCTGTACTCTTTTTTGACTTTTTTGTGTTGCCCTGATAGTCAAAACCTGCTGCAGTGTAGACTGTTGCCTTGGCACATTGCCACACACTCTCCTTGCCACCATGTGTTCGTCGGCGTCTCATGAAATTGGGCCGTAGATAGATAAGTGTGTTGAAGACCCCTTGCATGGGAAACAAGACATTACTGATAAAGGTGAGGATAAATAGCCAACCAGGAGCCTTGCGGTCTTCAGGGATCCTCGTCCAGAAGAGATCCACCATTTTTACTATCAACCCCACACAATATGGTATGAAGCAGCTCAAAACAAACCAAATACTCTGCCAAAAAGTTTCATAGATAAGAGCTGTTGTTTTGGTCATTTTCTTCCGTTCTGGTTGTTTTTGTGGGATTTTCTGACTTGCTTCCACTGCAGTGCTCCGCCGCACACCACCATCTGAGATGCCTTCATCAAAACGTTTCTTATTCTTCCGCTGCTGCAACCAGACCGTGATCAGAATTTTGAAAACTGCTCCAAGCTTGATCCCAGTTCCCAAGTTCAGCTCGACAAACCCAGTGAGCCACACAAAGAGGCCTCGGAAGCGGTGCCCTCGTTCACATAAGATGCCATCCACTTCACCACATCCGAGTGGAGCCGGGGCTGCATAGCACTGTAGCAGTATTGGGTCAGCATTGTACATTCCAAAGGCTAGTCCAAAAATTGGTCCCAGAATGGGGTATATGGCAGCAATGGCATGGAAGACGGGCTCAGCCTTTTGCTTGATCGTCTGATCACTCCAGTTGTACTAATACCGAAAACACTTGCAGTTAGAGAGGGGCGTGGAAACCTAAATGGGTTTCAGGAACTGCTTTGAAGACACGAAACCAACGTACCGTAAAGACGATGTAGTAGTAGATACCAATAGACCCATTGTAGACCATTGTCATTGTATAGGCAATGTGACTCAGGAATCCAATGGCACTGCAACTTTGCCTACTCCCAAGGGATCCATAAAAAGATCCTTCCGGTGTTGGGATAGTACTGAGGACATGAATGCATACCAAGATGATATGAGCCAAGGTGACGGCAAGGAACAGCCTCCGGAAAACTTTCTTCTTCAGACCATCACGGTCCTTGAGAATGCAGTAACAAAGATAGATGGAGCCAGTGATTCCAATCACATCTGTGGGCTTGCCTGCCCAGAACAGGGCCTTTTGCTGATGGTGGGAATATGAGAGCAGAGTGGCGGAAGGCATTCTGTTATTGGAGGATCCTCCTGAGTGATGTGTACTTTGCCTTTTTAGAGTTTGTTGACTGCCGAAGGATACTACCGGTATTGGCTACTGTCCACCAAATACCAGATAACGGGAGAGGGGAGAGGTTGGAGAGGTGGAGGAAAAGAGTCAAGCTTTTGAATGCTGATCCAAGCACTCTGCGCCATGCGCCATTGTCTATTTCATTGCGTTTCTGGGTAGTACCAGTACTGGGTTAGTTCTTTGCTACCGGTGTCCAATCGCACTTTTCTAAGTGGTTCATTGCACCCGTACCGGTACCGGTATTCTGGGTCCTAGATTACTTATATTAAAGAAGAAGAATTAAAGATCTCTTTTAGTGAAGAGTGACCCTTATAATGAAGAAATGTCAAATGTTAAGTAGAATGATTCAATCAGACCAGCTACGGACCGGTACTGTATAATACTGAGTACTCAGTACTGGTATGATAGATTCACTGGCATGGATCGTGTTCTTGCTTCCACGTTCCGCGATGAGCTGCCAGCATTGGGATCCCTATCTCATAGGGGTGGCGAGAAGAAGAATGCCCCAGACGTCATACTCAAGACCTGAGGTCTCTTTTTCAATCAAAAACGAATCCTGGCTGTGTTCTGAAAGCAGGCAAGACTTTCTCAACTGACAACAGTTGTTTCATCCGCTGATGTTTTACCCCATCCTTGAGTCTCCCTTTCGAAGTGTTCCTGGTGAGGCAGGGACTGCAGCAAAAAAGGTTGTTGTGATTTAATCGTCATTCTACCAAGGATTTAACCAAATAGGATCGGTGTTCTTTTTGTAGTTAAATTTGTGGTGGCTTCTAAGCAAATGAGGCACCGATGGCACTACCGTTTTTGTTACTTAAATAACATGGAGTAAACATTTTAAATGAATTCTTTTGCTGGATCCTGCTTAGTCTAAATAAACGGAAGTAACGTTAATGTGATTCTAAGTAATCATGTAGTCGTTGACACCGTACTAAGTCTTTCGGAGAGGAACGTTGCAGTTTGCAGTACTCCTGGTTTACAATAAGGCTTGTTGATTTTCATTTTCGGAAAACAATTGACGACCATGGCCACCATGGTGAGGTTGCCGTGATTTGAGTGCTATTGCACACCCTGACCCGCTGGTTGATCACTGAAGATTGTGCCGAGCCTCCGCGGCGAATGAGCGGCCACAGGGAGAGCCAACCGGCACTGTCACTCCTTCTTTGTTCCTGTTTCGGTTGATTGTTGATTGTTCATTCGTCTCATGGTTCATTCGTCTGGTTGTTGACCGATGACCATGATGACGATATGGTAAGCTAAGGCCCTGAATGGGTGCGACCCTGCCATTTTGGTAAGCTAAGGCCCTCTATGGGTGCGACCCTGCCAAACAACAACAACAACAACAGCGACAAGGACAGGTGATGCATTGACAATGATGTTCCATGAACAATAATGTAAGTTGACGATGACGAAAAGACGGCAGCATATTTTCCTTTCTGGTTTATTGGGTTTTTCTAACCTCTTGTTCTTCTTTGTTCTTCTTCCGTTGACTCGCCTGTCTAACTTCTCACTCATGATTCGTTTCACCGTTGCTCTTGGACCTGCCACGTCAGGGGCATCACCGTTAGAGGTACCCTCTCATAGTCTTTGCCCTCTCACCAATTTCCCCACCCTAAGCCTTGCAATCCTTTCCTCTTTTGGTTGGTACGGTACCGTATGCTCACTCTTGAATGTCAGGCCCTCGAGCCCCTGCATTGCTCCACCCGCGCCACTGGAGTCGAGTCATTACCAGCCAAAGCCAAAGCTGTTTCTACTGTACAGTAGTACCTGGTACCAGGTTATGCTTCTTCTTCTCTCTTCTCTTCCGGCCATGTCTGCTTCTTCCGCTCCAGTTTGAATCCTATCTTGGACATACCAGACCATTGGCCATGCCGAACGTTACCAAATGCATCCTCGTGTTCTTTGACTCGATTCATGCTCTACCTTTGTGTTCACAAGAATCCACTTAGAATCATTTGGAAAGTTGCTCCTACATGCATTTGCTTCATGTAAACGCCACCCACTCGTCCATTTGCCCATTTGCATGTAACCTCGGGGTTGATTAAATGCTGGGCATGAGCACTGGATCACATTTTCATCTTCCATTGACTAGCTACATGTATTAGGGAGGGCTGCCGTGTTGTAAGCTAGGCATCGGCCTTTGCCAGCGTCAATTTCACCAATCTGCCGGACCGAGGCAAAGTTTCAAATGGTTGAGACTGGTGTACGTCGCCAGAGACCAAGACCGGTACCGGTGCACTTCAAGTGCATATTGCACGATCTAGCCGTAGACGTAATCCAATTCGTAACAGGTGCACGTCACTCTCAACCTTACCGACACTATCGAGAATTCGTGTTCCGAGCCTCTAGTACTGCATCCAGCGCCCCCGCCCCCCATCGCCGTAAATGCTTGTGAAAGTCATCTATCGTCTATCCTCCATTGTGACGGTCACTTTGTTTCTGAAGTACAAGATGTAATCTAATTATTGGAATATGATGTATTGACGGAAGCGTTTGGAGTATGTTTGAAGTCGCTCAACAGCACGGATTATACCTCCATTTCGTTTTCGAAGAATCCAGACAGATGGCCATCTGCCGGTTCGGAAGAGTCATCATCATCATCGTCGTCGTCCATTGCAAAATCAATGAGTCCAGACAGATGACCGTCTGCTGGTTGCCGGGAGTCGCCATTGTAATCATGATCCATTCCATGCGGGACCTCTGAGGTTCTCTGCCCTACTTCTTCATCTTCTCCTTGTGATGCGTCAAGGCCATCGCCGTGTAAGGATGGCAATTCGTCCTTAAAACAGGACAGCCGTTGTGTCGAAGCCTCTCCAGATTCGTTGTCATCGCCATGCCCGATGTCTTGTAATACTCCCAGTTGTTGTGGAGCTGTACTCCTTGTTTCCTCAGTCTCATCGTTCCCCTGCGTATGGTGTTGGCTGTCACACTCAACGTCGGAAGCCTCTGCAAAACTCTCCTTACTCTCCTCCGCGTCATCTGACAGCGAAGGCGACTGTCCTGATCTCATATGATTATTGTCGTTGCGACCAGAAGTACTGGTGTTGGCAATGGTATTGTTCCGGTGGGACGACGAAATTTCCATGGAGAGATTCTTGCCCAAGCTGCGTATGGATGAAGTGAAGCGACCACGGAGGCTGGTTCGCTGGTCCGCTGTGGTTGACATACGGCTACTCAAATACCTGGTAACAGTCGTGCTTGTTGCTGCCCTGTTGCTGTCGTCATATGCCAATCCTGCTGAGGTGTATACTGTGGCCTTGGCACATTCCCATGCGCTCTCATTTTCACCATGAGTCCTCCGGCGTCTCATGTAATTGGGCCGTAGATAGATAAGTGTGTTGAAGACCCCTTGCATGGGAAACAAGATGGTACTGATAAAGGTGAGAACAAATAGCCAACCAGGAGCCTTGCGGTCTTCAGGGATCCTGACCCAGTACAGATCCACCATTTTCACAAACAGCCCCATACAGTATGGAACAAAACAGCTCAAGAGAAACCAAAAGCTTTGCCAACATGTCTCCTCTGCCACAGTTGTTCTCTTGATCTTTTTCTTTTTCTTCTCCTGCATTTGTGACTGGATGTGAAAACTGTGTTCGTTTATTGTGCTGGTACGCCCAGCAATGCTTTCCCTGAATCGCTTCTTGTTTCTGCGCTGCTGCAGCAAGACTGTGATCATAATCTTGACAACTGCTCCAAGCTTGATTACGGTTCCCACATTCAGCTCGACAAACCCAGTGAGCCACACAAAGAGGCCTCGAAAGCGGTGCCCCCTTTCACATTCCATGCCGCCTGATTCGCCGCATCCAAGTGGAGCTGGGGATGCATAGCACTGGAGCAGTATTGGGTCAGCATTGTACATTCCAAAGGCTAGTCCGAGGATTGGTCCCAGAACGGGGTAGATGACGGCCATTGCATGGAAAAATGGCTCAGCCTTTTGCTTGATCGTCTGATCACTCCAGTTGTACTGTTGAGGAAAACAATGAAGGTTGAGATAGAAGAAGACTGAGGCACCATCTCGGAACAAGAATTCGACGTACCGTAAAGACGATGTAGTAGTAGACACCAATAGACCCATTGTAAACCATTGTCATTGTATAGGCAATGTGACTCAGGAATCCAATGGCACTACAGCTTTGCCTACTCCCAAGCGATCCATAGAAAGACCCTTGCGGTGTTGGGATAGTACTGAGGACATGAATGCATACCAAGATGATATGAGCCAGGGCGAGTGCAAGGAACAGCCTCCGGAAAACTTTCTTCTTCAGACCATCACGGTCCTTGAGAATGCAGTAACAAAGATAGACGGAGCCGGTGATTCCGATCACATCTGTGGGCTTGCCTGCCCAGAACAGGGCCTTTTGCTGGCTGTAGGAATAGGATAGGAGAGTGGCGGAAGGCATGGTGTTGTTGCAAGGACTGCCTAAGCAATACTAAGTACTCGAGTAGTGAATAAATTATGGAGCCTCGAGGTGGTTGATTTGATGCAGTTTCCCTGTGTGGTGGTTTCACCTTCACCTTCAGTGCCAATACCAAGTATCCAGTATGCGAGCTCGAAACTGAATGTGATCGTACAGCCATACAACCATACCAGGTCGTGAAACGAAGACATAATGCTGAGCAGCAGCAACTGTGTTTCAAGAGCTGTTTCAAGTGAACATAACTATCTCCCTTGTATTTGTACCAGCACATGTACGAGAATGCGAATGCAATACCAATTTTGTACTGAGAGCTTATAGCAAAACGGACAAACGGACCAGCCAGTCTGTTCATACGACTGTACGTTCATACCAGTATTGCTATCTGGAGTTCGGTAGCAACACGTACACTTGAGTACTGAGTAGCTAATACCCTACTAACGTTCTATAGTCCATAGTGAATCGAATCGACGGTAGGAACATGAAACTCGAAGACAGTACATGTTGCGAATATAGCGGTACAGTAGGTAGATGCGGTAACAGTTAAATTCTAGTTTTTTATCAATGTTTACCATCTATCTACCCATACATTCTATCATCACTTTCAAGAGCTCTTTCAAGTAGGCTGGACAAACTGTACTGCGAACTGCGAAGACGATCTGGGTGGTTAACTACTGTTCTTTTTCGCACTTCACTTCTCCGATCTCCCGACTCCCGATCTCAGAGATCAGCATTCGGCAAGAATAAACAGGATGCATGAGGAGGATGCTTGCCAGCCGGCTCTAGCAAGCTACGGTACTGTAGCTAGAGCATCTACTCCAATACTTTAGTACTGGCCACTTGCTCTCTGGAGGACTGTGATAGCAGCTACTAGCTAGTAGTGTCACTAGTATGCATAGTAGTGAAGGAAGATGGCAGCAAGGATGCTCAGCCTTACCACGCAACCCAGCAGTGACAGCTGAGTTTGGCTACAACGCTGAAACTGTAATAGAAAGAAAACATCCAGCTTCCTTGCTTGGAAGCATTTTACTGGCACCTCGTACCATCCAGAATCCCCAGCTATCAATAAATTTCTACCTCTGTACATGCATGTACTGCCCAGCAGGAAAAGGTTGGATGACATGGTACAGCTGCTGCAACCGAGAGTGATTCGAAAGACTTGTTGACTGCTGTTTCAAATGGATTGAATGATTCCTCAATCATTCCTCGTGCTCTGCCCAGCCAGGTACTGGTACATGTACATGTAGTGGTACCAGGTACCAGGATCTACGTACCTGTATCGTAAAACGTAAAAGTGTACCGTTGGATCTTCAACTCTGGCTCTAGTAGAGTGGCTGGCTACCGGTACCTGTACATGTACTCTACTAGCTAGCTAGTAGACTAGCTAGACTAGCTAGCTACTAGCTAGCTAGTAGTACGGTACCGGTACGGTAGGGGCCATCGATTGAATTGAATGAATCGAATCGAGTCGAATCGAATCGAATCATTCGACTACCTGGTACTGTAGATTGAATCGAATCATGCGTCGATTCATTCGATTCGATTCGATTCATTCGATTCGATTCAATTCAATTCGATTCATCCGAAGGAAGATCTCTAGTAGAGGGGATGAGCAAAATTGCCTACTGTATCCCTCCATTGTAATTGATAGCGTTTTTTGTAAAAGTGTTTGTGAAAAAGCGAATATTTGTTTTGGGCTGCAATTTTTCTATTGGATTAGATCGGATTGGATTGAATTGAATTGGATTGCATTGAATTCCAGTTTACTATACAAATAACAGTACAATCTGGAATCCAATTCAATCCAATTCAATCTAATCCAATGCAATCTAATCCAATTGAATCTTGCTTCCAGCCAAAATGTTCATTTTATCTTTTTTCTGACATTCTGAGTCACTCCTGTTGTGTACACTACAGAGGCCGAAGCCTGTGTTTTGGCGATTTGGCGGTTGGTGACCTGTTTCAGTAAAATTTACTTAATCCAGTGACTCTTTGCTAAAATCGTATGACTACAGCCCTATACCAGGTACCGGTAGTACGGTACTGTTGAAAAGGTGTGAACTTGAACGCACAATTTCTCTAATTTAATCAATATCCTTCCAGCTCTACTGTCTAGTAGACTGGCTATTTGTTTCGTTTTCTCTTTCTCTCTCGTTCAGATTGTGAGCTCTACAACTGAGCTCCGATATGCATACATATACAGGATCTTTCGATCCTCTGTTTCTCGCAGTTTCATCTGCAGATAGATCTCGTCGATCTATCTTCCTGAAGTGCATGTTGGCCCTGGAGGGCTTTCCACTTTACTAAACCTATGGACTTTCATCCGTCCATTCATTTGTTCCAATCCCGTCGCTCCTTGCATTCATCTCTTCGACTTAACTTCCTAACCTTGTTAGTTGCATCATCTAGACGACCATTGTCCTCGTTCCTTGTAACCTGGCCATCTGATGATAGATCGGATAACCATCTGATTTGAGTCACACATCCCCAATCACGAACCGTGATTGTGGATCCCGAGTCGTCTGTCCGTCATACGAAAATACCTTTCTAACACCCTTCCTGTTTCGCGATGATGGCAGCGACTTTCTTACCAACTCAAACCAATGCTCCTTGTCTCCTGTCATGTTTCGGTGCATGTCTGTCAGGGTCTCGACGTTGACATTCTTGGTTCCAATGTCCTCACGTTTTCTTCCGAGCGAACGAAATCAATCTTAACTAGGCCGTCCTGCTGCATTTGGTTCACGTAGTGCCACTCGTATCCATATGCCTTGTTCACTTGCACTTGTCTTGTTCTCTGCATAAAGATAGCACCTACGTATCGATCTTCACTTGCACAGGTAGTTCCACGTTGATCTGTGGAACTTCAGAATCTGCGCGATGAACGGACTTCTCGCACTGCTTCGCA